TCTTGAGAGTGCACATGGCGATGGCGTTCTTGTGCGACCCGCCGTGCACTATGTAGCGTTGCGTGATGTTTGGAACCACGACCTGGACGCTGCCGTTCGTGCCCAGCGTCCCCGACTCCAGGAGAGGCTTCCGGTAGTGCCAGCACCGCCCGTCCATGTACCTTCTGGCCTCCACGTTGTCAAGGGCGTTGGCCACTCCGTCCAGTTGGCTGTAGAATTCCGAGTTATAGATGTGCTCCGTTTCCGAGCCAACGCGAAGCTCGTGCGACTCGATGTGCACCTCGGGGTTCATGCGCCCGACGGCGGCGGCGGCGACGCGCGACTTGGCCTTCTTCACGTCCCAGGAGCGGAAGAGGAACTGCCTGCTGAGGTTGCTCTTCTCGATGTGGTCCATGTCCGTCACGGTGAGGCTCCCCCGCTCGCCGGCGCCGATGCCCAGCATGGCGAAGTTCTTCAGGAGTTCGCAGCCGATCGCACCTGCGCCGACGATGAAGTACTTCAGGTTCTCCAGTTTCCGCTGGAAGTCCCGCCCGAACACGGCGATCTGCGCATCGTAGCGGCCGCCTTCGGGAGCGCAGTGAGCGGGCGTCAGCGACGACGTGTCTTCCGGCAGGCTCTCCAGGGCGTCGTAATAAAGCCACTGTGACACGGGAGTGAACTTGCCCGAGCACGCCTTCAGGACCTCCTGGGCTGCGATGCTCCCGACGACGGCGTTGACCGGCACGAGCTCCCCGGCGGCCGTGCAGGCGAACTTCCGCAGGAGGTCTTCGTCCACCTCCTCGACGGCGACGGGACAGGTGCTCCTGACGGCGGCGAAGACTTCGAGGAACTTCTGGGCGTCGTCCTCATTCCAGGGACGAGGCAGCGACCCCGTGGCCTTCACGTACTCATGCAGGGCCAAGAACGCCACGTGGACCAACGGAAGGAGGTGCGTCTTGCGGTCGTCCGTGGTGACGAAAGAAGGATTCCGGATCGAGTCCTTCAGAGACATGAAGGATTTGAACTCGCTCACTCTGATCTGCTTCAGGATTCCTCCGCCTTCGTAATCAGACATCCTGCTCGTGTCGCCGATGGTGATCTGGGTCGGAGACAACATCTGCGGGGCAGATTTTATGCAAATGAGGACATCCGAAGACTGTTATCAATCAAAACACTGTTGAGAATGAGAAACGTGCAATGAACGACATATCTCGTGTAACATATATATAAAACAATACCAACATTCAACACATACCCAACGCATATCAAACCAAAACGTCAAACATCAACCGAAACGTAAACACACGTTTTACAAACAATGGAAATGAACCTCTACCTTCACTTCGCGTGGGGGGCAGTGGTTTAGCTCCGTCATGCCCCGAACCCCGGTGAAAATAACCTGGTCGCCATCAAAGAGCCCATGGAAGGTCGTGTCTGGGAAGGATACCACGCCCTCTTCCTGTGATTCGTAATAAGGAACTAGAATAGGAACCAAGAGAATTATAGAGAACATTGAAGGATCTTTGTCGAAGGAAACTGAGTAATAATGATGGAGAATTATGTGTTTCTAAAAGCACTGATCAGTGAATTTGTGCAAATAATTGAAAGGAAACTATTGTTGATAGTCACAAAAACAAATTATTACTATTAAAATAATAATGTTTACAATATCAACAGAAATAAAGAAAATCAATCATAATGATAATTATGATAAGAATAATGATAATAATGACAGTAATGACAATGATAAAATATGATAGTGATAATAGTAATGACAATGATGATAAAGAAAATTATGAAAAAGATAACATCAACAGTAATAACTATTACCATGATAACACCAATGATAATAGAAATAATAAAAACATTAAAATAAAGGTAATAATGATTACAGAAACACAACAATAATGATGGTAATGATTATTAATAATAAATAGTGCAATAACATCAATAACAATAATAATAATATTGGAAATAGTAACAACGATACTATGAATTATAATGATCATCATAATGCTGTAAAAGATGTAATGATTGATTATTATGAGCATTTTACTTATCGAATCTTTAATTTCATATTTGCCAATACGGTTAATATATTCATCATCNCCCCCCCTCCTCTCTCTCTCCCTCTCTCTCTCTTTCTCTGAAATGTTCCTCATCATCCTGACCTTTTAGGATTCCACAACATTCATGTTTTCTTGCTTATCTTCCCTTCGTCGACTTTGTTTATCATGTCCTTAAATACTTCCCTATCATTCTTTTTATTCTTCTTTTTTTTTGCATTTTCTTCTTACTTAAAAAATACATTTTCACATACATTAAATAACAAACTCTTTTTAGGAAAAAATCTAATCTAGATTCAGAAAAAAATGTCTCTAACGACTACATTGATATCATTGCATACACATATAATTAATGAATCATGTGGGGAAAATGGGTTATTTCTCTATTTACGAATGCAGTGAAACACGTGGGTGAAGCGGTGAAAGGCCAGCTTCGAGTCCGGTTTAGTTCTCAT